ACAAAACCACACCGGCCAGAAAATACCAACATGATTTATTATAAGTATTATTTTTTTTCTTTTTCAAATCTTCAAGGACAGCGATATATGCAGAATGTGATACGTACTGGCAATGTTGTCATGAAGGGGTGAAAAGGAATTCCAAACGGGCCTGGCGTTTTAAGAAACGATTAAAAATTATTTAAAAGTAAAATGGTGAAAAATAGAGGGATCCTCAAGGTATTGCCCCCCGAGGACGGGGTTCTCTTTCCATGACCAAGCGGATAACAATAGGCTTATAATCATATTTAAAAAAAAGGTGCAAGATATTTTAATTATCAACCAGCGTGTATTTTTTTTATATAGAATATAATTATTTTTATGACCCGAACGTACGATGGGTACACAGTGGTACCTGTACCTACCCGCACACACAGTTCACACCTACTTATAACGGATTTATAACATTATGTAAATTCAACAGATTTTTACACCCCAAAAAATGTACAACTCCACCGGTACGTTCTTTTGACCTGAAAAACACATTCACTCCACCTATGACAAAATCCACAGATTAAAAGACAATTTAATATACCTACATATTAACAAGATTACTGCTTTTTATTTATTTTATTTTAACTAGCTAGTGATCGTTATTGATAGTTATTCATTGTAAATTTAATTTTAATTAACTAGGTAGTGATTATTTTTGATTATTAACTATTCTATATTTTTTTTTAATAATTAAAAAAAATATTTATGTTTCTCAGTATAATATAATATATATATATAATACAACTGTACATAAATAATGTATGAATGTCATTTTGTATCAGATTAAAAAAACAGATCAAATTTACATTTATGCTGCATGGTAGTAAAAAAATTTAGATGGAATTAACGTGAAAAAATGTTTGAAATGGTCTAAAACTATGGTTTTTACATGCACCTACCCATAAGCTTTGAAGTAGGGCTTAGCGTTAGCGCCCTCTAAAAACATCTGAAGCACACCAAAATATTTCATAATTTCACCTCGTAAGTATAATAAATTATGTTAATACATGATGATAGATATTTCTTGACCCTCTGATTTTTAACAAAATTTACACCTATGAGCTTTTGTATATTGGCGTGATCTGGTGAATATTATATTATTATTAATATTTTTATTGGGGCAAGTGTATTTTAATTTTTACATGTAAACATCTTATCGAGGGTTTGTGACTTATTTTACGAAAATTTGTTAAGAGACGCTAAACGGACATTCGTTATCTCCGTCTTTATGAAGTAGCACGTTTAGTTTCGTTAGTTTAAAAATTATAGTAAACCCTCCTATTATGAAACTTGATTTTAAGATTTTTTTTTATATTTCAATTTTGAAGCTAGTTATGAGCATTTTAAGTTAAATTAATTATTCAGAGCATACAATGTGCTATGTTATGAGTTTGTAAGACTGAAATAAAGCATGCCGGTATATGGCGTTCTCTTAATAACAATATTAAAAAATATGTTTATGAATAATATATCGAAATTCTCCCGTCATTAACTTCAGCTTTTGTTCCTAGTAGTAAATTTGATCTTGTTTCTACTTAAGTTTCTCAGGACTTTTTACAATAATGGGAGGGAAAAAACACACATATTTTTTTTAAAAACCAATGCATTCTTCAGAATCTTTAATTATTAAGTGCACTGACATAGTTACATATTTTTAAATACGACCAACACACACAAAAACATGCGAATTCAAAAACTAATAAGCCTAGAGTTAAAAAAAATACATGAGTATTTTTGTGTCACGAACGTGTACTATACGTCATGCTCACTCGGACAAGTACGGCGTATATAATAATAAAATATATTATTATATTATTATGTATGTATAGGATGTGGGTGATTGTGTATATTTGGGCGGACAAGAATGTTTTTTTATTTTCATACTTACAGACTACTGAAAGACAATATAATATGTATATATGGCCATGATAATGTATAACATAATGTAACAAATAGTTCTCCTTCGGTGGCTGGTAGCCGTAATGGACTTGCAGCTGGATCGTGTCGACCGAAATATCAACAAAAGCAAGTACCTAAAAGAACCCAAACAATAACTGTTTAAATATCAGACAAGAAAAAACGCATGTACCACAACTATATACAAATATATACACAATAGTATTTATATATAGTACAAATAACATACCCAAAACGTCACAGTCGTGTAATACATTAGGATTGGGTATAATGTATATTACAACAACCCTCACCAATAAAAACACATATACTACCTATAATCCATATATGTGTAATATGTATTATGTATATGATGTAACTGGAGTAAATTGTGTTTTGTACAAAAGAAATTCAAAGGCGAAGACTACAATATTCATTATTTAATATAATGTTGTACTACATTTTTTCATGAATCTAGAGTGCAGAGTAGACCTGCAATAACGTTTGAATAACATCTTTAAGGCAATGAGCGCCCTTTTGTGGTGGGGGGGGGGGCGGTAGAGCACTTCCTCCCCCCGTGGAAAAAAAAGAACTATTGCTGTAATTCAATAAATATGAGCATGAGATTACCTTATTAATACCAATTAATTTTTTGAAATCACTTTTATGATACGTAACAAGCATATAAGACTACACAATATTTTTTCTATTCTTATTAAAATTAATATTATTATAGTATGTAACAACACAAATAAAACACGCTTATTATGTGAAAATAACATTAAATCTAAATAACAAAATTGATATTAGTAATCACTGGTGCGACAGACAACAATATACAAAATATTTAAAATTAAAAATTAATAAAATATTACCTAGACATATTATGACGTACAGCCAGGCGCAGATCCAGTCGGGGCGACGGTCTCAAATGTATTGTCTGTTCGGTCATGCATTATATAAATAATGGTATATTCGAACGACGATAGCAAAAGCGGACACATGATCAGCGGGACGTCGGCATCGGTCGGTTACTACATATTATTATACACAGTATACAAAAATATAATATAAAGAAGTGCATTTGAAATCTGCCACTCTCCACCCTCTCTACCCTAACCTACGACCCGGATGTTGTCCATATTATATTGTATACGTGTAAACGAAAAAGAAGATAATCGTCGGTTCGGTTGCTTATTGTATTTTCCAAGTATTGCGACGACAAAAAAAAAGCGGACTTACAATCCAAGGGTGTCGGCGTCAGACGGTTACCACACATACGATATTATATATTTATACCAACCTAATATAACATAATATGAACCATTCGAAAATGGTCATGTTTTACCCTCGTCTATGTCACGACCCTGCGTTATCTATTATATCTCTGGAGATATTCTGTATTAAAGTGAACGGATCCAACGACAATTCTGTTCGATTGTTTATTATATTTCCCAAAGTATGTACGAAATCGGATTTATAATCTGCAGGTTTTCGAGTTCGGTGGGTACCTACACAAAATATTATATTATACACAACATAATGCTTTAAAAATCTGTCACTTTCCAACCCTCGTTCATGCCGTGACTCGGTAATATGATAATTATCTGATTGGTAGATACGTACTTGTAGATACCATACAAGTTACATTATTGTTACATTTATATAACTATCAGTGTAGGTACAAATCACAAAATACAAAAACGAATTATACAAATCATTTTAAATAGGAACAACGTACTTATCACCAAAATCAAATACAAATTCACTGTTTTTTAAACATGTTACGAGCATACGAGAGTTATTGTTAATTATTGTTATCACAAAATTACATATATTATTGAGTGATTATATTGATATCTAAGAATATTTTTATTTCATAATTTAGCTCTACATACTACCAAAATCAAATATAAAGTCACATAAGTCACTATGTATTCGTCAAATTTTCGTCATGATTTTCATAATTCGTAAACTGCGTTTGTCATTAATTTTCCGATTGAATTGACTGTGAAATTTGCACTAAGAAATTATAAATTAACTATTTTATATCATAAATGGATCTGTTTAAAACGATAAGCGATGTCTTGACTAAGGAAAATAGGAATTTATTTTTATATACATAGATAGGTTGTATAATTTTGCAATTGCACAGTGGCACAGTGGCAAAGTCTACGCCTGCTGAAATGTATGTATATTCTGTATTCAATGTGTAATCAAATATGCTAAACCTGATGTCCTGAGACCCTGCAGTCACATTTTGTGCTTCAAGTTATTGCATCTGGTTGGGCGACAACTTAATGGGTCGTCCCAAATTTGCACTGTCTCAATTGTTATACAAGTGGTGATGGTACATCTTGTTTGTTAAATGTTACTTAAACCTAATTTTAATATATTTGTAAAAGTGGTAACCGTGATTTTAATATTTTAACATTGACGTGTTTGCAGAAGTAAAATTAAATTGTGAATAGCCGTGTAGGAAATAAGTTAAGATGACGCTACACCCATATGTGGTGTTTCCATCTTACAAATGTACAACATACCACAAACTGTTTTGCACAGGGGAGAACCGAGAACGCTACAGCTATAACTAAAAAAAGAAATTTTCATCGCATCAAAAGGAGAACTTTGGCTGTGAAATATCAATTTTATTTTTTCGATCACAAAACATTCAAAACTGCAAAAATGTTATTCAAGTATGAAACGCACAAAAATAATGGATTTCGAAACAATAAAAACTTTTTGGTAGAAGCGACATCAAAAAATTATAAACGATACTTCACAGTTAATGTTCTCAACTATATTATGTATCAATTTGGAGTCTTAACTATAAACGGAGTGGTTTTATCCCACAAAAAACAGTTTTTGCTATGTTGTATATTTAAAAGACTGGGATTAAAAAATGCAAATTCAAGGGTTCAATTTTGAAAAATATTTTATTTATGTATAATATAATATTAAATAATATTATAAACAGAAAGAATTTTGTCCCTTTTATTTAGATAATATAAACAATTTAATTTTTAATTTTTATTGATATTTGTATTTGCATACATAAAATAAAGTATAATAATGCAAGTATAGTATTGTTGTTCTTATAAATAATATAATATAATTGCATAGGTAGTAAATTAAAATTTAGTTTTACCTATTGTTTTGCTTGAGGACAATTTCGTTTTATTAGGGTTATTGCAATATCTTTTTGGCCTGAAACAGCAATTAAGAAAATATTTAAGAACAAACTTTACAGGCATTCACTTTGAACAGTTTTTAATTGTCTTACCTAATCGTAAGTGAATGTATAGAGCCAATATAACTACATGAACAGGTACTGAAACATTTACGATTTTTGACAGCCATATCTGAAAAGGCCACAATTTCATACTTGTTGATCAAATAATAATTACGCATAATAATAATATTTGAATGGATTGTATTCAAAATGCCAGATTTTAATAATAAAAATATTTTTATGGTTAGGTACATTTGTGTAAATGAATTACTTTACTTGTAATTTATGTGACTGACATTAATTAAAAATAATTAAAATTAAAATATGCCACCCACCGTATAATGTAGTTTAATTAGAAAATAGAAAACATATCATCTTAATACTGATCTTACTTGTTTAATTAACTCTCCAGCTTTATCAAAGTCACCCCTTAGTGTCAATGCTACTGCTAAGTTATAATAAAGAACAGCTTTTGCAGATTTTTTTTTGTCTGGCTTCCATTGTTCAATTCTAAGCTGTTCGTGTATTTCAGGTTCAATATCATCAAGAGCATTGGAATCTTTTAGCATATCTATTGCTTCATTTGGTTTATCTAACAATATCAGTGCTTCGGCTGCATATAAATGCCCTAAAAATCTATAAAAAAAAAATTAAATGATATAATAGTTAGTGTTGTAACAGACCTACATGTAGTGGCAAATTTCTTGGTCATGCTTAAGAATAAGAACACAAGTTGTTAAAAGCAAAAATTATTTTATCATCAATGTATAGCATATATTTAGAAAAAAAATATCATAATGTAAGTAAAATATGTCATCTATTATGTTTTTATAATAAATTTTACAGACAGAGCAAGTGATAGCATTGTGAGCAAATCCAAAGCATGTCATAGCTGTGAAAAAAGGATATTCTGGAATTCACTCCTGTAAAAGCCGCTGTAAGCATTCAGTTGCACTATGTCAATGATTTGTATAAATTATGTTCAACTGTATCGCTTACTAATCCTAGACTAAAATTGTTAAAGTATTGTATTTTGTAAAAAGTATAAAAGTATAAAATTAAAGTCTAATTATAGAATTCAATAATAAATTGAAAGTAAACTTTTCATTAATATTTAATCTTGGGATAAATGTGTATTTCTATAATTTATAATGATAAACGAGCATACCCACACTCAGGAGTCAGCAATCACCACTGACCATATATTATTATAAGCTACCTATTACTCTAATATATTATTCTTAATAGAAAATAATCACACAAAACAGACTTACTTGTGAACTTTATTGATTTTGTCAGACTTAAGTAACAACTCTTGTGAATACTTTAATGCAACCACTGGATCTCCTAGACATAAGGCTATATATGCTCCAGCTGATTGAATGCAGGCAAAAAGATAGTCTTTGTCTGGTATTTTGATGGGTGTGTGTGAAGGTGAACAGTCAATAGTATCGCCTTTAAGTAATAAAACTGCATTGCGAACACATAATGAACCAAATACTAGACTTGGCATTGGGATGGATGCAGAAACTGCTTCACTACTGCACGGTTTGAAAAATAATTACATTTCCACAGTTTTGAAACACATAATTTATTTTTAAACTAACCTGTATTTTGTGTCTGCAAACAACTGTGACTTCAAAATAATTTTCCTGTGTTCACCAGAGCCAACAACATCTTCAACAAAAGGATTCTCGGAATCAAAGTCTCTGTCGTTGCTCTAAAATCAAAATATACATGTGAATTTTTGTACATGAAGTATGGTTGAAGCAAACGTCTCTAATTACTTTTTTGTGTGTCATAATACAGCATTCCACTAATCTTAACCATAGTCTAGGGTTCATGTAATAGGTTTGTACAGCTTCAATTAGACAGTCAAATGCTTCTTCGGGTTTTCGAGCATGTAAGAGATTTATGCCCAAGTTGAACATAAGCTCAGTTTTAATGCTTGCACCAATTATATGAAGTGGTTGACCTGATAAACTACCTTCAGCTACTCAAAATCCAACATTTATCATTGAATAGATAATTTATCATTTAAAACATTTACAATTTACTTCATACCTTGATTAGGCTTTGTTACATCCATGACATTCTTTTGATGTTGAACAATTGCTTTGTAAATAGACGTGAATGACAAGGTAGGTTTTTTAGCATAATGGTACAAACAAGATAAGTTATTATTCATTAAAACTGAATAACTCTCTCCAGTCTCTCTGTAACAGAACAGAAATGTTGATAATTGCTGAACTGTAAAATTAGATTGAAATCTACAATGTAAAACGTCCTTACATAAAATCGTTTTCCACGGGAATTTCTTTCAAAATTGCTAGTGCTTCTTCATGATTGCCACGAAGGTATTCTAATTTTCCCCTTAAAAACATTGTTGTCGAGTCCTGGAAAATTATACAAGGATATGTAATAACAAAACTGATTTACTTAACTATAGAAATAGTAAGCGAATACTCTACCTGTTGTTCTTTGATTGTATTTAACTGTTGACAACACTCGTCAAATGAATTTAGCTCCATTAGTGACCTAACACGATACTGAACAAGACTGACTCGAAATGCATCAGTAGCAGCATCTAAATTACCTTTCTACAAAATTGGAAAAAAACAAAACACATAATTCTTTGAAAATTTGATCAATTACAAATCTAGTCATATTATATACTTTACTTTTTTTGTTTTTATGTGTATATAACCCCCTTGATCTGCGCTACTAGTCAATGTATTAGTGACATAATCTGTTGATACAAATTGACTTTCAATGTAAGCAATTAATTTTAGTGCTTCTGCAGGTTTATTAGTATCTATATGTAATTGAACTATCAGTAGGCACACTTTATGCGCCAAACTTTCCTCTATAACAAGTTTAATAATTAAAATAATATTTAAACAATAATTAAATGGCCCATACAATATTTAATTACCCAAAGATTCTATAAGTGCGTAGACTTTGTCTATCATAGCCAATGCTTTAGTGAAGTGTTTCAAGTGGTACAAAAACACGGCATAGTTATAATAGTAAATACAGTTTTCAACATCTTTTAAAGAATCCAACGGTTCTAGATTTAATTCCACCTGTAAAAATTGCATAATTCAAAAAGAAAATGAGCAATCTTATACCAATTAAATGTTGAATGTTTGAAATGCCAAATTACCTGATTACAGACATCTACAAGCGACTTATGAAACTTGTCGGCTGTGCACAGGCCGTTATCGTAGAACTCAACGATAGCCTTATTAAGTTTTACTTTGGGGTCGTTGGGCCTCATATGTTCGATTCGCTGCAGATGTTCCAGGCAAGATTTGTAATTTTTCTGTTCATATTCAGCTAATGCTTGCTGAGCCAAATTACGTTCTTGGTCGGTTATTTTGGCAGCGGTCTCTTTACAATTTGGTTTCTGTTTGTCGGACATTCTTTCCGCGTGTCATGTAACTAAGTACTATGTAAAAAAAGTATACACTCACGATGTAGACTTCAAAAGTTCAAGACAGTAGGCCGTACGTTTTCGTGTAACTTCGGAACTGCATTTAAATATGAAAACGGGTATTCGTGCACTTTTTATTTAAAAGTTTCAAATAATTTCGATCACAGATCGTCGATTGGTAATTGTTATTTGTTTCGTCTTTAATCAGTTTAGTCAGACATTTCTCTTATCACAACGATGTAAGCAACTTTTTTAACGAACGTCCGTCTCGGCGGCAAACTTAAGCGACCAATCAGAAGCGTTCACATTTGTCAGTGAAAATCAAATTTCTTATCACCCTTTATAAAAATATTATCATCTATCATCGTTCATCAATCATACCTGATGTCCTGAATACATCTGCCCTTGGACACTGATTTCAATTCCTAGCTCACGTCACGAAAAACAGTTAAAATAGCATAAATATATATGTCATATGAATACATTAATGATAGTACTATTTGATCGATTTTACCAACTATGCCTTGTAAGCTATAGCTTATAAATACCATTAAACCAGTTAACTCCAATATGTAAGCTAGTTTTTAATTATCAGTATAAATATCTAGGGACTTGATAGATTCAAAGAACAACTATATTAACAATCATTTACAATTAATTTAAGTGCCTGTGATCTTACTATCTTATAACATAATATAATGTATAGTTTTTTGATATCAGCTCCAAATAAATTCCGAAACTATTCCTGAGAATTCTCTTCGCAGGTTAAGTACTAAATTTGTGTTATTATCAAAATTATCCAAATCCCCAAGTAAAGTGTTTTATAGCCTTATTGGGTGGCTACTTATCTCACGATGTCTGATGTCTTAAATATAAGCATATATTCGCATACAAGTTATTGTAAAAATTTAATTGCAGTTTGTTTGTTTTAAAATAAAGTTCTTAAAAAAATATATAGTGCTTATATCTGAACATTTATTTAATAAAAAAAATTATTTGTACACATACTTTTTATTTATAAAACACTTAAATCAATGATCAAGCTACCTACTTATCTCGTTGCTTAAAAAGTTTACTGAGTGACCTCTAGAAGTCTGTAAAAAATGTTGATTAAAATTGTTTGAAAAAGGTGACGAGTACCAATTTAAACAACTTTATTTTATTCTATTTCAGTGCCTTAATCCAATACTTCATGAGGACGAATATTTTCCAAGGTAAACCTTATTAAAACGATTCAGATAAATTGTTTGAAAACATCATTAAAATTGAATTGTCTCTTGAGTCCAGATTATCAGATAAATTCAATACCATGAATTCATCCTATCAAAACCATGGTTAATGCAATGAATGCTTCTATGTTTGACCATATGAATGGAAATGATGAAACTGATATTATTAATTTACAGAAAAATATTAGGTAGGTAGTAATTTATAATTATTTATCAAAAAATGTCTTTTATGTTATTGTGATAACATGAATTTTATACTTTTAGTATTTTCATTTATTAAAAATAAATAAATAGTAGTAGAATAAATAAAAATATTTTATGGATATATGTAAGTTCTCATAATTTAAGTAATGGTGTAAAATACATGGTGTATTTTGCATATTTTTAAATATTTGCATTAAAATTAATGTTTAATCATAATACCTACTATAATACATTATACAATAATTTGCCTAACTCATAATTCCACCGTTAACTGGGTAAAACTAGTAAGTGCCAAGTACCAACTGGAGTGGTAATAATTTTGTTATGAAATATATGATTTAAAAATTCAAATGACCATTTTTCAGCCCTCTTATCATATATTGGATACATTTTTCTTGGTAACATATTTTTGTAAACATACCTAATTGTAATATTATTTATTATAAATTTTATATTTTATAACCAAGGGTAATATACTAATATGTAAGCTATTTATTCTTAGTTTAACAGGTCTCACAAATGTTATAATGTATTTAAAATAAAAATGTTAGTAACTATTTATAAATTATTATTTAATTATTTTAAATAATTTTAACCATTTTGACTGTACATAACAATTTTATTAATGGAAAGAAATGTGTCCTTTAATTGACCATATTTTGACCAAAAATTGAATGAAGATAATATAAATAATTAAAACTCGCAGATATGCTGTGAGTAGTATTTTTGTTTATTGAAACACCAGATGCAACGATCTTTATCATTATTTTCCAAAATGTGTCCAAACCAATAATTTATGGGCAATGGTCAATAATGATTCCAGTTAGGAAAAAATTGGCATTGAGTAGTTTTACGCAGCTGATCAATTTTTTTTATTATTAATCAATAAAAATTTTAAATTACAATGCACAATTTGATAACTACAATACTATGATTATGCATCTCTTTTAAGAAGAGCTTGAGTTAGAGATACAAAGTGTAAATATATTATATTAAAAAATCTAAAAATAATACAAATTTACAATTATATAAATTATGTACAGTATTATTAATTATTTAAATAATATAATTAGAGTATAGAAAAATCAAAATTAGAAGAGAAATAACAGATTTCATTTTTAAACATATTTACAATTTAAAATTAAGAATTATAATAAAAACAATACAAAATATTATTCTCACATAATTAAGTTAAATTGAATGGAGTTGAATGTATCTATATAGACTCATAGTAATATATTAATAATACAATATATTTTAAACTAATTCTCTTATAATTAGGAGTCCTGTATTTCGAATATATTTTAAGGAAGCCTAAAAAATGATAAGATTTCATCATAAATATTGTGATGCTACCTATCTTTGTACATAACATTTGAAAGAAAGTAATACAAATATATCATATAAATTTGGATTAGATTATAAGAACTATAGTTGAATTTTAACGTACATGACATAGTTCCGTATGTAAAAAAAGTGTCATAGACTCCATCTATATTCAATACATTGTTAGTGTCATATTTTAAGTTTACTTAAAAAAAAAAAATAGTGTTTTTCATTCTGTACTTTCAAAGTTTATGGTCTCTATAGTATGCATACTTTTTTTGGTAACACAATCAAACAGCTACATAACTCCGTTATACATTTTGATATTTGAATAAGTTAGGACAAGTTCTACTGCAAGTATTGTGAGTGGTGATCTCAACAAATCGCTAGTAATTTTAGATAATATTAATGAGTAACATTTTTATATCTACTCCAATAATATATTATAATATTATCAGCGTATAAGAGTAACTTAATAACAATAGGAGTAGATTAGCACCTATTAATCTATTGTGTAGTTTTGCTAATAGAATTAATAATTTTATGGTGAAACTTATTAAGTCTAAAATATTATAATATGTTTGTATACATTGTTCATTGTTTTGTTATGAACTTATGAATTTTTGTCCTGGTATTATTGATATTTTTAATCTTTATTTTATATACAACTATAATATTATTATTATTGTACATTTGTACACTTGTTTTAGTAATATTTTAGAAATAAAAATAATAATAATAATTAATAATACCATGTGAATTGAAATAATAATAGCCAATTTTGAAATATGTTGTGTTCATTATTTGAGATATTTTCCTATTGAAATTGTCAAACAATACTAAAATAATTTCATCTCTTTAAGTCTTGATATTATTTAAAATATTTAAACAATTATTTAACTGATGTGAAGAATTTTTTTTTTTGTACTTCTATGCCTCATTAAATACTCAAAAAGGTTAGATTTTAAATACATTTTAACAGTGCAATACTGTAATATTTAGTGGGTATGGACTACTTAAAGTATTTTTAAATATTATCCCCCTTTAAAACTATGGCAAATTTCTGCCTATGAGTACTTTTCCAGGGTTTTATTACTGATTGTGGGTAGTGATTTCAAAGAGGGCATTTGAAATAGACATAAATTGTTGGGTGTTGTGGATTAACTGTTATGCTTATTTTTAGTAGGTGTATTAATACTTTACTAATTCTAATAAAGTGATTTGAGAACAAGATTCCTAAAAAAATTTGCTATATATGGGTGTATATACAAATTATATATATTGTTATTTTTTTTAAATTGCAAAAGCATTATTTTAGTTTTTAACTTAAATTAATATTCTTAAATAAATACATCTGTAGTATTGTTAAATCTTATTTTTTTCTTGTGAAAAGTTAAAGAGTAATAAAAATTGGCCTGGTAAATATTGGATGTAACATACTGCTTTAAGTATACCTGGGCATTATGGATTTCAAATGAAACATTTTAGTTAACAATGTTTTTAATATACATGCAGTATAATAGGTTTATACTAAACTGATATTAAGCTGGGTTAGTTTTCAGAGTAGCAGCATAGACTCCTGAAACCTTCTAAAATAATAATTTGTTACACTTACCCTCTTCACCGCATTGTTGCTTGCCACTCTGCAAATCGCTTAGCCACACATTGAATGATTTTTTCACCTCCATACCATTTTTTATGTAGTCCGTGTAGGCACAACCTCCAATCTTCTTTGAATCCAAACTCACTCCTTTCACAGAATAATTTGAGATTTCTATCGAAAAACCACACACGTCTATGGCATTATCCACTAATGGACTGACTGTAACACATAGGATATCGAAGAGATTACTAATTAGTTTAGGTTTCAAGTTTTAATGGGTTGGAGGTGCCATGCTAAAAATGAAACTGGATAAAACTATCAAACCACATACCTAGTGTTTCTTCACCGATTGAAATCATTAAAATCTATTCAAGTAACTACTTTTAAGTGCGATCTGACTATATTTCAAATTTTTTATAATTATTTAAATACAAAATGAAACAAGAGAGAGTCCAGTATATGTAATATCACTATAGAATTGTAAATCCAAGTCTGCATTAAGTTAAGACTAATAAGTTTGGTAGGTAGATTTTTAAAAAAATATTATCATATAACCAGTGTTGAGTCCAGACAACTAAATTTGTATCTAGGTAAAGATATACTACAAATATTTTACCTATATATAGTTAGATATAACTAGATTTTATTTTTATCTAGATAAATATAATTAATCAATCATTTTATCTAGATAAATTGAATACATTTTATACAAAAATTACAATTATTCCTACCCAATAGTCCTATGATTCTACTATTTGACTACTAACTTAAGATACTTTCAAAGTATCTACACATTTTCTGAAAGTTGGACGTGTTTCATTGTTTTGTAGTAACAACTATATTATTTATAACAGTACAAAACAGGTCAAAATATAAATCGCAGTTATTATATTAAACAGATTAAAAAGCCAAAAAATTATAACAATAATGACGAGTGAGCTGTAATAAGAAAAAAAAGTTTTTAAAAAACTATAAGACCAGTCCTAAGCTGAATTATGTTAGGAATTAAATTTTACTACCTTAATACCAAAATTTGAAAATTAATATAAGTAGGTACTTACATCCTAGAAAATCCTGATTCGTTAGTTTGAGTTCTGCATCGCTGTAAGTAATGAAAATGGAGCAAATCGTCGCTATAACTACTGTCGACTTCATTATGACGTTGCGTGTCTGTAAATTCAGGATAATGGATTATTGAACGGTTATAACAAAATTAAAATATCAGAATGGGTAGAGAAAAGTACAAGACGGGTAGTGAATTAGAAGCAGCGGTGAGTAGGTACACAGATCGCACAATGGTTGTGATAGACTTTTCGTAAGCCTTTTTATAGGCCACCTCGATGGCAGTGGTGATGGTAGTCCCCACCATCAGCTTCATATATATTAGTGACATCTTAGACTTGTACCGCTCAGTATTCCCCTCTACCACACAATATTAAAATAATAAAACGTGCAATTTATGCGTATCTACTTCTGTTCGGCCTAAATCCAACAGAAATATCAAGTAGATATAATTTATTATAAGAACTATAACTACTTAACCTATACTTAACTCGACTTTGACGGTGAAAAAATGAACAATTAATATAAAACATTATACCTATGCATTATATCTATATGGGTGTATAATTTATATATCAGTTTCAGTGTAACTCAGTACATCGTACCGTAATAGTAACTATAGATATTGGATTATTTCTGAATGTGTTTCGAATTTGTCTGATATTTTTAAGAACAATCTCCCAAATTTTGGTGAAAATCGTTCGAGTAGTTTTCGAATCTATAACATATTCAGTGTTCAGAACTTTCACTGAAAAAATGAATTTATCCAGGTTGACGTTCATTGGAAACATGAATGCTTTCACTAGATCTTTCATTTAATTTTTTTATATTAGAAATATTATTGTAAAGTATAATTAATCAATTTATTTGGAATATTTATTTATTAAATGTCAAATAAATTGAACGTTTTAAAAATCGCTCAAATTCATTGAAATATAATAACGTTACTCGCGTTCACGTTCAATTTGAAAAAAAAGAATGACCTTTGCTCAATGCTCTCGAAATATGAATGACGTTCTTTCCAAATACTGAACATATTATATATTCATATGAAAGTTATAATATTGTTCCTTATTTAATATTCAATTTCAATTATATGGTTCAATTTTTAATTCAGATTAAGTGACCTATATTAATAGTATTTTATTTAGACACCTACTCGGCTACTCAATACATTCACCTACAAACAGTAACTTTTTATACGAATTCAATTCGAGTATTCGAATTTTATTAACTCCTTTTTTTTTACCAGACATCTTTTATCGATCCTTTTTCGGTAAATTGTTGTTCAGGTTTTCGTTGTAGCTAACGTAATATGTAGATATTATTATAAAAATCCATCAATTTGGAATTTATTAAGAAATATAAAAAAGGAAGTGGGGGCCGATAAAGCTAAATTAACATTAAGTGGAATTGGGCAATCGACTTACAAACGACTAAATAAAAGGTATATAGTGCAAACTAGATTGAAAAATTTTTGTGAACAATTTACTAAAAAATAATTGAGTGTAAGTGTATTTTTGACTAACATAGGGCATACTATAAAGCTAAAATGTGATTAAAAATATATGATCCGTTCTAATTTAATTAATAATATACCAATCAAATGTAAATGTATGATTTTGTTTTATTATTTAATTGTATTGTAATAGGGGACTTTTTTTTCTAAGGACCTTTTTTTCGGCATACCGGTCTCACGACATATCATGGTTCGCAACGGGCCATCACCCAATAAAAGTAAATTTGTCAAAAGTTTGAATAAATATGTAAACGATAAAATAATAAATAAAACAATATTTAAGTACATATACCTGATTACGTACAAGATCGGTGGTTAAGTGGGTATAAGTCGTAAGTATTATAAGTTATAACATAATAATATAATATAAACCTTACGTGAAATCAAGGCCATTTGTTACTCTTTGATTTTCAAAATTTGTGAGATACAGCCATACAGGTGTTATTGAAAATGTAGGAACACCTTTTTTGATGATTACCGAGAGGGAGGGAATTGTGGAGAAATATTCACCACCTAGTTGCGAAAAACCACTTGTTAAAAATATTTTATTTTTGTGAAACATCATTGCGCCAGTAATGATATAAAATATTATTGGTTCTGAAGTTTGATGCGTTTCTGTGTTATTAACGAAAACATTGGCGTCATCAAGTCAGGTAGGAAATTCCATTTACACAATATTCCTATCGTGTTATTGGTATTTTAGAAAGTGTTTAGTATAGCCGTGAACCAGACACCTGCGGAATAGGCGACCGACTAGTGGTTTCCTCAATTTGAAAAATATATTTTGTATGGTGTATCGTTAACGGTAAACGGTAAAAAAGTCCGGGGAAAAAAAGTCCGAGGAAAAAAAGTCCGAAAAAAAAAGTCCGGGAAAAAAGTCCGAGAAAAAAATAATTTAAAAATAATATTATTTATTAATTATTAGGTACAACACATAATTATTAATTATTTATTATTATTTTTATTTATTATTATTATTTTATTATTTATCATTTTTATACTAAGAACATATTATAATTCAATTGTCACATGTAATTTACCATTATCGTTACTACTCCCTACTCCTTTTTCGTAAACAATGTGATATATTTTGTAATATCACATCGACTGGTTCGTTATCTGCAGATCTTTGACATAATATTTGAAGATGGTGTTCCAAAGTATTTTCTTTCCTTTTAGATGTTAGCCCAATATCATTTAATTCTATTTTTCCGATATCGACACTCATTTCCTGTCGCATTTTGTCAATTAGCTTCCATATCGTAGGATGGTTATGCCCCACTACATGTTTGAATCTATTATTCCAGCTCTCACATATGTTGTTTGTACGATGTTCCCCATTTAATGTCGATTCATGCACGTTCCATATCTCTGGTGGATACATCGCTTTAATTCGACGTAGTTTTATACATTCTCCCGCACCAACTTTTTTGTACGTACCCGTGACGTATGTACAATCAAAATACTCCAGTAACTCATCAGCTTCTGGTGGAACAACAGTTTTTAACTAGTTCATACCTTTGTAAATTTTGTGTAATGGTAAAAAAGCTAGTCCATCTAACATCTCGCAAAAATGACTAAAACTGTCATTATTTGTATGCAATTTCTGTAACCCTAGATTTTGTATTTTTCGGTACGTGTTTTGACACAGGTGATAAAAACATCCTCTTATTTCTAATTCAAATCCAATTATTTCACGAGCAGCCTGGATAGTAGCTTGCTCAAAGTCAATATGTAATACTTTTGGATCAGGAAAAAAATTACGTTCAGCACATTTCTCGTATATAAAATACTAAACATTTTTTTATAAGTAGGTACTTTTTGTTTTTCTTTCTAATAAACAATAAACAGCGGTCACAAACACGTCTCTTTTTTTTACTCTTATAACATAGTTGTAAAAAATGTTCAGGACTCAAAGAAAAGTTACCATCACAAAACCAATTATTTGCATCAGTGATATATCGCAAACCATCATCCAAAGAAAAAATAATTACTCGTTCATCAGAATCAGGTCCACTATCGTACAATAAAAAGCGTTTATTTTTATATAATGTCCAATCACCAGTTATACTTAGCTCTGATAGATTTTGAGGTTTTTTCGGATACATTCGACCTTTACAATTACGCAATGTTCTTTTTACGGTGTTTTCATTTGGCAAGGATTTCAGGGCTTCTCTTGGCAAATTATTGACTACTTCCGCAAAAACTTGAGAAGGTGTATTTGTCGACATTATAAATCGGTTTTTCATTTCTTCCTTTGCTTTTTCTACAATGCCGATGTGTAGATCACCAGCATGAGAATGCTCTCTAAGCTTGGATTCTTTAAATCTGTTTATATAAATATATTTTTTACATATTATATAAATTAATTATAGAATGTAAATATATTATAAATATAGGTATTTACCTCTGTTGGTAGTTAATATACCAGGACATTTTTTTGAAGACTTCTGGGAACATTTCCATCTTATGCTTTTTGTTAGCACATGCTGGATTGTATATGCAAATCCACCACAGATAATTTTTTTACCATTTTTTATTATTTTTACACTATCCATCATTATAAAAGTATGTATTACACTATAAACACTGCTATGGCCTATGACACGCGGTTGACTACTAGGTAATGCTATATATCGTAGGTATACTAGATAAGTAGTAATTTTACTTGTAAGTTGTATATGGAAATACCCTTAGACCCTAATCGAGATATCATTGTGTATAAAGTATAAACCTGTCTGTGTAGTAAGTAAATTTGAGTATACAGACTACAGAGCGATGTAAACATATTTTATTTGAAAAAAATTACTAAGCTGAATAGAACATTTTTGTTTAGTAATTTATGACTAAATTTACTAATTTTATTTTAAATTAATAATTAATTTATATTTTTTTTTTNACCCTAATCGAGATATCATTGTGTATAAAGTATAAACCTGTCTGTGTAGTAAGTAAATTTGAGTATACAGAGCGATGTAAACATATTTTATTTGAAAAAAATTACTAAGCTGAATAGAACATTTTTGTTTAGTAATTTATGACTAAATTTACTAATTTTATTTTAAATTAATAATTAATTTATATTTTTTTTTTTTCTCGGACTTTTTTCCGTTTATTCGGACTTTTTTTCCGGACTTTTTTTCCTCGGACATTTTTTCCCCGGACTTTTTTTCCTAATATCATCGTTAACAATGCATTATAAATCAATTTTTAGTTACCTACATTTACAATTTCTCATCATACGATTTTCTTATTTTGCACCATAGTACTTGAAATAATTGAATAAATATTGTATAATGTTATATTTTCAGTAATGGTAATGTCATTGTTACATTTTAAAAAATGTAGGTTAATTTTATGCTATTTCGTTTTCATACCTATTATAATATTATTGAGGGTAAGTACCTATGTATTAAAATACTAAATTCTAAATATTAGTGTGCATCGTGGATTAGAATAGTCGTGGATGAGTAGGTATATATTTTTACCAACCGGCTACCAATATACATTTTAAATATTAATAGAATATGAGAATAATGATATGTTTAATCAAATAAATCACTCTGTTGGAATAGCTCTTGGGTAATTTTTTGGGGTATTATGTCGCTGTTATGGATGTGTTATGTTTGAATCCAAATATTCAATGATAAACCATTGCCTACAACAACGGTTTTGAGATAGTGCTTCAGTCTCTATTTCTAAGGAT